TCTGCACAAAGTTTACATTGAAACAAAACTATTATACTGGTTATATTTCAGTGGGTATATCCAGTGGTGTATTTCCCATCAGGTCAGTGGACTTGTTGATAGGGAACGATATTCCCTTTATGCGGTATATGAAAAGAACCCCTTGTGATTGATAATAACACTGAGATAATTTTTGCCATTGAAGCTTGTAGAGAGAAACCTATTTTATTTCCTCTCAGTGCAATTACAGAGCAATGTCAAAGATACAACCATCCTGTCTCCTGTTGAGTTAGTGGATGACAATGATTGGGGCTTGAAAATGTTGTTTAAATGACACTCTGCACCCAGGGGCATTAACATTGACTCCCCCGTGTCATCAACCAAATCAGGACACAACTGACGTTAAATTTCTAACTCATGATGATTAAACAAGGATCAGTTTGTTGATCAGTCACTGGAAAGACTGAGAGAATACATTTTCTGAGAGTGAAGCAAAGGAAACTCGATAATTGTTACTACTAAGTAAGGGTACTGATGGAGAAAAATACATGTAAGTTTCAGCTGATAGTGTTTCCACCACAATCAAGCATCTCGTAGTGTACCATTTTCATTTCGTGAGCAAGCCATTGATTTTGCCACAATAGTCCCATAGAGGACATTTGGGTGTCAAGAAGACACTCTGTAAACTGGCAAAACATTTTACTTGGGCCAAATGAAGGAAACAGTAGCTGATAATGTGCGACGTTGCCACGTGTGTCAAGTGACAGGCAAGGCAGCAGCGCACACTCCACCTACACCTCTCACTATGAGCTCTAGTAGCAAAGTTCAGTTCATCTGGACTAGACATTGTTCAGATTTGTTCAAAAGGTTGAAGCATCTGCTTTCCTCTGCTCCAGTGTTGAGTCCTAATTTCAATCTTTCCATCTTTTTACATATAGATGAGAGTGGTTATGCAGTGGGTGCTGTGCTACTCCAACAGTCAACATCCACTGACATTCTCCATCCTATATGTTACTATTCATCTAAACTTAAAAACACCAGAAAAATTATGCCACTATTGAGAAAGAGGATCTAGCTCTTGTGGTGGCCTTGGAACATTTTGATGTGTATTTGGGCACTTCCCCATTTAAAATTAACGTAATTTTATGCCCAAATACCTTTTGTTACTTGCTATGTCAAATTCAGTAAAATTAATCCCTCCAGCCCATATTAACTATGTATACTCATGTCATGTCTAATTATTATATTTATATATTCACAGTAGTGTTGTGTATGAGGAGGAGACATAAGCTGAGTGTTGAGTGGGTAGTGTTGTGTGGGCGATGTTACTGCGTGTGGCGCAACACTGTCCTGCCGCAACCCCCCCCCCCCCTCACTACCACCTTTAAGCTGTTTTTATACACAGATGTCCATACTGCATAGCATTCCACAACCACTACTTAAGATGGAATGCAGTCCCCTACTATGATCGAGCCTCATCGTGCCCAACTTGTATACGCTATCCTGTCTCGACACTGATGTACAAACCCAGAAAGCGGGATATGAAACTGTGTACGGGCCCAATACTAGGGCATATCTTATTTACAATCGGAAATTGTAGGGGGGCTTGGGCAAGAGGACCTGAAAATTTTTATTAAATGTATTGATATAGAAATGGGAAAAAAAGTAAGACTTTAAATGAAACTCCAGTGCGACCATTTGTGTGTTGGGGGTTTTGAAACCCCCTGAAGGGGTTTGCAAAAATTAAGTATATTAATTATGAATTAAAATATAATGATAATATAATTATACCTTTTCTTATAATTTTAAATTGCTTATATTTGCGATAAAAACAAAATCAAAAATATATTGTTTTATGTTATTTTTTTATTTAGCTAAATTTGTGAGGTAGGATGTAACATATGTGCTCAGTTCAAGTCTTGATTGTCTAACTACTGTAATTATCGCTTGTGGATTTTAGACTGCCGGTTTCTCGTTGTTGCTGGGCAACAACCCACGGAACTATCACGTGATCGAGGGGGGGTGTCCTCACCTCGCCTGAAGTATTCAGTCTGGTCTAGACTCTCTTGGTGGTTGGACAGATTGTCTGTCTCATTATTCTTGTTAGTTCTGCAGAACTCTGTTCACAGAACGTTGTATAGACTTAATGATTTTCGACGTTGTACTGAGGTTGTGTATCGCATAGACACTCTAATCAACTTGGGGTCCTGAGCTGTAGCTTCTGACCTAATTTGTACTGGGATCTGTGTATTATCACAGTCGGGAATTTTCTTATGCTGAACTTAGATTCAGTAGTATGGGAGTTTTGTGACTTTTGTGGAGGATCTGCAGATGGTCCCTACTTAGTGTCGTTATATTATCTCCTTGTTCCTGATTCTGTGTCGCAGTTGCTTGTTATATTGCTATTGGGCTTAGCATTCTTTTTATTGTTCAAGCAGACTGTTCTGGTTGCCAGTCGGTCAAGAAGTTAGTTTATTTGAGGACTACAATACACGCTACCACTGCAATTCACACACTACCAGTACAATACACACACTATCAGTGTACAAAACAGCACGACAATACCAACTACATAAGCACACACTTCCATTACAATACACACTACCACTGCAATACATACACTACTGCTGCAATACACACACTACCACTACAATACACATTATCACTGCAATACACACAACACAGTTACAACACACTCACTACCACTACAATACACACACCACTACAATACACACACTACCACTACAATACACACACTACCACTACAATACACACACTACCAACTACAATACACACACACAATACAAACACAGTACCACTTCGCTACAGCACTACCTCTCAATACACTAAGCACAGTTACAGTACACACACTACCACTAAAAGTTTCCACACTACCACAACATACCACCATACAAACAATACACACACTACCACTATACCCAATAGACGCATACCACACTACCAACTACAGTACACACACTACCCACATCAATACACGCACTGAACTACACTACAATACACCACACCACTACAATACACACATTTCAATACAATGCACATGCTTCCAGAATACACACTACCCCGTAAATAAATACACACGCTACCACGACAACTACACTACACACCACTACAATACACCATGCCACTACAATACACACACTACCACTGCAATACACACACTACCACTGCAATACACACACTACCACTGACAATACAACACTACCACTACAATACACACACTACCACTACAATACACACACTACCTCTGCAATACACACACTACAATGCACACTTCCACTGCAATACACCACCACTTACAATACACACGCTACCACTACAATACACACACTACCCTGCAATACACACACTGCCACTACAATACACACACTACCACTAAACAAATAACACACTACCACTGCAATACACACACTACTACCACTGCAATACAGTAACACACTATCACTACAGTACACACACTACCACTGCAATACACACACTACCTCTACAATACACACATACCACTGCAGTACACACACCACTACAATACACACACACCCTACAATACAACACTACCACTACAATACACACTCACACTACAATAACACACTACCACTACAATACACACACTACCACTACAGTACAAACTAGACACACTACCACTGCAATAGACACACCACTACAAATAGACACACTACCACTACATAGACACACTACCACTACAATACACACATTACCACTGCAGTACACACATCACAGTTACAATACACACACTACCACTACAATACACACCTTACCACTGCAATACACACAGCACAGTTACAATACACACACTCCACTAAAAATACGCACACTACCACTGCAATACACACATCACATACAATACACACACTACCACTCAGTACAGCACTACCACTACAGTACAAACTAAGTACACACTACCACTACAATACACACACCACTACCCAATAGCGACACTCACACATTACAAGTACACACACTACCACTACAAACACACTCATACATTCACACTTACCACTGCAATACACACATCACACTTTCAATACACACACTACCACTACAGACACACGCTACCACTGCAATAAAACACACACCCTTACAATACACACACTCCACTACAACAACGCACTACCACTACAATAACACACACTACCACTACAAATACACACACTACCACTACAGGACACACACTACCACTACAGTACACACACACACTACAATACACACACTACCATACAATTAACGACACACTACCCAAAATACACTCGCCCCGTACAATACACAACTCACTAAAATGCATACACTCCAATCACCCCTTTACCACTACCACTCGTCGATACGTTCCACTGACCATTCATTACACATTTAGGTCATCTACACTGCAGTGCACACACTAACTGCCTCTCACCCACTATAGTCCACCTACTGAAAACTCTCCCCTATAGTGCTCACACTGATACTGGCTCCCCACTGATAGTGACACACATCACACATTACAATACATAGTCTCCCTACAACTGATAGGCATCATGTACAATATAACATCCCTACATGTAATTTGCTCACATAATCTGGGAGGGCCCCCCCCACCCCCTGTGTACGCCCTCACAACTTGGTCTGCACGTGACGGGGAGAGCCTTCAAGACCATGTCGATTCACAGTGGGCGGTCATTTATACAACAGACTTGAGGTGTTACTTGACCATCACATTGTCCTCTCAACGTCACTGATAGTTTCTCTCCTCCTATGGGTTTCATATTACTGGTCTCCCTCAATTATTCTGCCTTCTCACACACACACTCACACACACCACGACACACTCCCACACATACCACACCAACCCCCACCACCCCACTACTGTGAATGTGTACTTAACCCAAGACTGTTTATCGAACTGCCCACCCCAAGCGAGGGACCAGACATCTCCCCATGGGTCCCTCCACAGAGGGAGCAGAGACTCTTGAAGACATTAACAAAGAGCTTACTCATTGAGCGGCCTCTATATGGGAAACAAAGATCTTTTAGAAAGAGACAACCATGAGCACAAACAAACTTGTTCACAAAGTGTAAGGCAAGTCATAGTATTCTCTCAGGGAATTTCACTTAAAGAAACAAGTGAAAATTACAATCGAATTCAGGAAGGAAAACCTTCACAAACCTACACAGATTTTAAGCAAGGTACAGAATAAACCCAAGGAGGAGGTGGATGAGCAAGCTTTGCATGCGAACTTGACACACCTCAAAGGTGCGTGAGGACCAGACAATCACTCCATGGGTCCTTAAAGAGGGAGCAGAGATATTGTAGTGAGCCATTACAAAGATCTTCACACATCATTTGAAACTGGCAACTCCCTGAGGTATGGAAAATGGTAAATGTAGTCCCAATTTTAAAAAAAGGGGGACAGACATGAGGCACTAAACTACAGACCTGTATCACTAACGTGTATAGTATGCAAGGGCATGGAGATCATCAGGAGGAGAGTTGGGGGGGCACCTGGAAAGAAACAAGTGTATAATTGACACCAGAACGGTTTCAGGGAAGGAAAATCCTGTGTCACAAACCTACTAGAGTTTTATGACAAGGTGACAGAAGTAAGACAAGAGAGAGAGGGGTGGATCGACTGCAATTTTTGGACTGCAAGAAGGCCTTCGACACAGTTCCTCAACAGAGGTTACAAGCAAAGCATAGAGGACAGCACAGAACCAGGAACACTTGCAAGGGCCGAGGAATATCTGACAGGGAGTCGCAACATACATGTATACACGAATTACAGAGAAGGCACCTGACAAGGGGTTCCACAGGGGTCAGTCTAGGACCTGTGCTGATTCTTGGTAGTGCGACATAATGGAAGGGATAGACCCGAAGGTTCCACTTGGTTGCAGATGTGCAGTTTATGGAAGATCAACGACATGAAGGATCAGGGAACCAGACGGTCACTTAAGTGCAATGATCCGAATAATGGACCGAATCCCATGTCAGCAAAGTCAAAGATTGGGACGGGCTAACAAGACCGCCAGACAACGATCTTATTTAACGGCCAAAGATGCAAATCCAATAGGAAAAAGAACTGGGGAGTATAAACCGAGCATATCCCTGAAGCGCACATCACTCAGGAAAAAGATCTCGCAGAGGTCACGGAATGTCGTCCTAGGAAAGGTTAGGGAAATCGGTATGACGCACTGGGGAGCAGAAAGGTCAGGGGAGAAGAAACGAATACAAGATACTGGAGGAGAATAGGACAAGTGGAAGAGAATGATCCAGAAGGGGGACACAGGGACAAGGGGCACAACGGAAGCGATAGTACTCAGAACGAGTCACGGAAGGGGCAAGAGCGAAGCTAGAGTACAGGACGTAGAAGTTTTCTTCAGTCATAGAGTTGTCAGCAAGTGGAATAGCCTAGCAAGTGAAGTAGTGGAGGCAGGAACCATACATAGTTTTAGGAAGAGGTATGACAAAGCTCAGGAAGCAGAGAGGGAGGAAGTACCAGTAAAGGGCGGCCAGGAGAGTGCTGTGCCCAGGGAGCTGAGTCATCACCCACTGCAACCACAACAGGTGACACAATAGGATCACACACCACACACACACACACAAAACACACACACACTACACACACACAACACACACACACACAACACACACACATACACACACATACACACACATACACACATACACACATACACACACACACACACACACACACACGCACACACACTAGGTAGTAGGTTGGTAGCCAGCAACCGCCCAGGGAGGTACTACTTTGTCTCATAAATACACAAATAACCCGCACATAAAAGAGAGAAGCTTACGACGACGTTTCGGTCCAAGTCGGACAGAAACGTCGTCGTAAGCTTCTCTTTTATGTGCGGGTTATTTGTGTATCGTTCCAGTCACGGTATTGTGCCTTTTTTGATATTTGTCTCATAAACATGGAAGATTTCAAATACGTCTTGCTACTTCTACTTACACTCTGGTCACACTACACATGCATGTACAAGCATGTATATACACACTCCTCTGGGTTTTCTATTTTCTTACTAGTTCCTGATCTTCCTCCGTTAGCCATGCGTGTCGTAAGGGGCGACTAAAATGCCGGGAGCAAGAGGGTACGAAACCCTTAACCCCCCCCCCCCTCTCTCTCTCTCTCTCTTCTTTCTCTCTTATATATATATATTATATATATATATATATATATATATATATATATATATATATATATATATATACATGCGAAATTATTTACATTGTCTCTACGTCCACAGCAGGACTCGAACCTGCAAACTCCGTATCAGAATCCACAGTACTTTACCCCTGCCCCCGTGGTAAAGTCTCTAACCCCCGATACAAGATTGAGGTTCGAGTCTGCTGTGGACGTAGAACAGTGTTTAAATAATAACCGAAATACCCCAGGTACCACTGACCGTGTGTGTTCTCCTTACAGCCAGAAAACCTGCCCTGGCCAGCAAAGCCAAGGGGCCGCTGTTAAACTGGCTGACTTCGGTCTAGCTATCGAGTACCAAAAGGTGACAGCAGGCATGGTTCGGTGAGTACCATATGCTGAAAAGTTCTTGCACCTTACATCATAAGTATATATAAGTCTCACCGCAGCAGGCTTTCAGACAGTCTTATTTGTAGTTATATCAGGGCCTTTCATCGTACCCCTGCTCCATTCTTACGGTCACCCCCACCATGCACTGACACTATCATAGCCATCCCAGGCCTTGCTCATCTACTGTTCCATCTATCCCGGCCTTTGTCTCAAGCACTATACCGACCATCCCAGGCTTGTACAACACTGTACCCATCCATCCCAGGTCCTTGTCTCATAACTGTACCATCCATCCAGGCCATTATTCAAACTGTTACCATCCATCATGCCTGAACCATCACATGTACCATCCATTACTGGCCGAACCATTACATGTCATCTATCCCAGCCTTGACTCAACACTGTAACCATCAATCCCAGGTCTTGTTCAACACTGTACCATCCCTCCAAGGCTTGCTCTCACACTAGTTCATCCATCTCAGGCCGTGTCTCAACGCTGTACAATACCTATTCCCATGGCTGAACCACCACTGTTGTTCTCCTCAGCCTGAACACCACTCTACCATCCATCCCAGGCGCGCTGAACCACCACTCTCTACATCCAGTCCCAGGCCTGAACCACACAGTCTGATACCATCATCCCAAGCCCTAACCACCACTGTACCATCCATCCCAGCGCCTGAACAGCTTTCACTGTACCATCCTATGCTAGTTATAACACGCACTATACCTCAGTAACCTGCCTGAACCACCACTGTACCATCCACCCAGGCCTTGCTCAGCGCTGTACCATCCATCCAGACCTTGTCTCTCACTGTATCATCCATCCAGGCCTGAACCACCATTGTACCATCCATCCAAGGCCTGAGCCACTATTGTACCATCTATCCCTGTCCTTGTCTCAACACTGTACCATCCATCCCAGGCCTGAATTGCCAATTTACCATCCACCCCATTCCTGAACCACCACCACTACTATCCATCCCGGCCTGAACCACCACTGTACCAATCCATCCCAGGCCTGTCTCAACATCCCATATATGTCACCACCCATCCCAGTTTCCCCCATCCAACTGTCTCACCCATTCAGTCCTGTCCCACCATCAAGCCTGTCTCACCCATCCCAGGCCGTACGCCACCCATGACTCTCATACCCATACCCAAGTCTGTCATACCTATCCAGGCCTGTACCACCACCCATCCCAAGCCTGTCTAACCAATCCCAGGCCTGTCCCACACCATCCACAGCCTGTCTCACCCATCCCAATCGTTCTACCCGAATTCCACCCTGTCCCAACCATCCCAGGCCTGTCCACCCCTCCCCAGCCTGTCCACCTACACCATTCCAGCCTGACCCACCATTCCAATTGGTGGTGGAGATAATACAGCTATCCGTCTTGTTAAATGTCATCATACAGCAGGCCTGGTGGTGATAATATAGCATATGTGTGATAACAGCAGCTGGTAGTGGTGAAAATACAGCTCGGCTGTTGATAATACAGCTAGGTATGTGATAATCACAGCTGGTTTAAGTGATAATACAGCTCGGTGTCTAATACAGCTGCTGGTGGTGATAATATAGCTGTATGGTGATAATCAGCCTGGTGGTGTGATAATACAGCTGTGATAATGTGCTAATACAGCTGGTGATGGTGATAATACAGTTGCTTGGATAATACACCCAGTATGGTGTAATGCAGCTGGTAAATACAGTTGGTGATCATACATTGTGGTGGCCTATATACAGCGGTGGTGTGATAATTCACTGTGGTGTGATAATACAGTTGGTGTGGTGATAATACAGCTAGTGGTGGTGATAATACAGCTGGTGATGGTGATAATACAGTTTGGGTGGTGATAATACAGCTGGTGATGGTGATAATACAGCTGGTGGTGGTGATAATATGGCTGGTGGTGTGGTGATAATACACCAGTGATGGTGATAATACAGTTGGGGATAATACAGTTGGTGGTGGTGATAATACAGCTGGTGGTGGTGATAATTGTGCTGATGGTGATAATACAGTTGGTGTGGTGATAATACAGTTTGGGTGGTGATAATACAGTTGGTGGTGGTGATACAGCTGGTGATGGTGATAAAACAGTTGGATGGTGGTAATACAGCTGGTGATAGGTGATAATACAGTTGGGGTGGTGATAATACAGTTAGGGTGGTGATAATACAGCTGGTGATGGTGATAATACAGTTGGGGTGGTAATAATACAGCTGGTGATGGTGATAGTACAGTTGGGGTGGTGATAATACAGCTGGTGATGGTGATAACTCAGTTGGGGTGGTGATAATACAGTTGGGGTGGTGATAATACAGCTGGTGGTGGTGATAGTACAACTGGTGATTGTGATAATGCAGTTGGGGTGGTGATAATACAGCTGGTGGTGATGGTGATAATACAGCTGGTGGTGTTGTGTGATGGTGATATACAGTGGGGGTAGTGGTGATAATACAGCTCGTTGGTGATGGTGATAACACAGCTGGGTGGTTATAATACAGGTAGTGGAGTGATAATACAGTTGTGGTGGTGATAATGCAGCTGGTGGTGGTGGTGTAATGCAGCTGGTGATGGTGGTGATACATGCGTGGTGGTGATAATACAGCTGGTGTGGTGGTGTGGTGGTATAATGCAGTGGGGTGGGTGATAATACAGCTGGTAGTGGTGATTGCAGCTGTAATGTAAGACTTAAAGTAGTTCTGTCAGTTTTTAAACATGGTGTATGGTGGTGACTTCAGTAGTGCTGGTGTTGCTAACATTGGGGGTTGTGGAGAACTCTATGTATAAGACATGGTGTTCATAAACATTGTTCAGTGGATATCCAGTAAGACTGGCATTGCATAACATGTTCTGTGGGAAACTCCAGTAGGGACTGATGTGCATAACATGTTCTGTGAGAATCAGTAAGAGACTGGTGGTTGCATAACATTGTCTGTGAGACACTCCTAAGTAAGACTGGTGTTGCATAACATTGTTCTGTGAGAACTCCAGTAAGGACTGGTGTTGCATAACATTGTTCTGCGAGAACTCCGGTAATGACTGGTGTTGCATAACATTGTTTGTGAGAACTCCAGTAATGACTGGTGTTGCATAACATTGTTCTGCGAGAACTCCGGTAATGACTGGTGTTGTATAACATTGTTCTGCGAGAACTCCGGTAATGACTGGTGTTGCATAACATTGTTCTGCGAGAACTCCAGTAATGACTGGTGTTGCATAATTTTGTTTTGCGAGAACTCCAGTAATGACTGGTGTTGCATAATTTTGTTTTGCGAGAACTCCAGTAATGACTGGTGTTGCATAACATTGTTCTGCGAGAACTCCAGTAATGACTGGTGTTGCATAATTTTGTTTTGCGAGAACTCCAGTAATGACTTGTGTTGCAGAACCTTCATCAAGTTCAAATTGATTATGTAATTTTCTTATTTACTATTGTTTACTTAAACATTAGCTGAATTGATACTTTCTCTGTCCATATTACTACCTCATATTTTTTAAATACTATCAATTGATATTACTTACTAAAAATTAATAATTATCATACTATAATTTCAATTTACTCTTAACATTTTTGACATTTAATAACCATTACTTGTCTAATTACCTTTACCTGCTTTATACCACATTTACTATCTTAGAGTACTCTTAATTACCTTGTACTGCCATATAACCTCTAGTATAACTACCAGTGCAATATTGAATGAAATAAACATTACTTTTTCACTTTTTTGTAATCATTATTACTTACTAAAATTTTATTAAACACCATATTTACTACCAGTCAATTTTACTTTTGTACATTAAACATTATTTTATACTTCCCATAACATTTTGTTGCCAAATTTTCAAGTTTGTATATTCAACTCCAACCTTTATATTATCCTGTGTACCTGTGTACCTGTGTACCATCTTACTATCATATTATAACCAAGACATTACCCTTGTTATTTTTTTACTATTATTCTTTTGGTACTTTAATTGTGAATTATATTTTGTCAGTTTAAATCTAGTTATACTCCTGATCTTGTCAACAACCTATACCAGACTCTAGTGCAATTGCAAGTACCATTTCAATTTGTATTTTTATATTATAAGTTTGTATTATAATTTCCTACTCTAGATTGTTTTCATATCTTAGTGACTATATTGTGTGTGCAATTAGTGTATTTTTCATTTATATTATTGTTCAAGGCCCTTAACTATCCTTTGCTAACTAGTACCAACTACCTCATATATTTTTTTTTCTACTTTTTTTATTTCTTTTGCTACCTTAACTTGCATATTTCATCTTGTCAATTTAAATCTAGTTATACTCTAATTCTTGTAAACAACTTATATAACACCTTAGTGCAATTACAATTGAGAGTCTTGTGCCTTTTTTATATTATTAGATTAAACTCAGTTGTACTATAGTCAATACCAAATTCATTATATTAGACCATATTGCAATTACTAGTGAGAGACTGGTGCTATTTTTAATTTGTATTTTATATTATTAGATTAAATCTAGTTGTACTATAGCTCATTCTAGCTCAAAACATAGACTCCACAAAAGTCATTATATTAGACCTTAGTGCAATTATTTGATTACCACTTTATTGTTCACCACAACTTACATTAGTCCCTTTTTTATATTTTTAAATTCTAACTTTAAAGAATTACCTTTAAAGTACTACCTACTATCATATTCCCAAGCTCCATTATTTGATCATCACTTTATTTGTTCACCACAAATTATTTTAGTCCCTTTTATATTGTCTCCTTATTTTAGCTTTAAAAAACTACCTTAGCTCATTATTTTTACATTTGTTAAATAATTCAGGTGCTATTTTTTTTTTTTTTAGCTTTAGAATATTTACTTTATTTTTTACTTAATTCTAACTATAGATTCACTACAAATCTTATGATTACAAGCATTGATCCTGATACCAACCTCTTATTTAATGACTTAAATGATTCAAACAGTTACTGTAATTACTACACAGCAGAACAATCAAAGGCACTTCTCAGAGCTAACAACAACATAACTATCTTTAACTACAATATCAGATCTTTAAGCAAGCATTATGATGACCTCAGCATTACTAAATTCTTGCATGCCAATATGTCCATCATTACACTAACTGAAACCTGGCTAAAGCCTGATACTACAGATGTCTATGCCATTCCTGGTTACACAGCCATACACAACTGTAGGCCAGACCAACAAGGGGGTGGCACTGCTATATACTACTCAGACCAACTAGAATGTATCACTAATACTTGCACAAGGGATGAACATGGAGAATATATAATAGCTAAATTCAAATCCAAATACCTACAAAAACCTCTCACAGTGATAAACATCTACAGAGTTCCACAATCAAACATTAGCCATTTTAGTCAAAACCTAGGAAGTATGATAACTGATGCACGCATGAACAAAGATCACTTACTACTCTCAGGTGACTTCAATATAAATCTCCTGCAAGACCAGGACCCACACATTACTGAATTCACAAACACAATGAGTAACTGCATGTTGCTACCAACAGTAACAAAACCTACAAGAGTTACAGAGACTAGTGTTTCCCTACTTGACCACATCTGGACCATACACATATCCCTATAAATAATAAATAAATACAGATAATACCACAGACCACTACCACTACTTTCCTGCGTAACAACCCTGGGCTAAAATCTCCAAGACATTACAAAAGTCACCTTCAAGACTTGACAATGAGGCATCCATTTAATATCTTCACAACAGCAGTAACTCATATTGACTGGCACACTGAGCTAGGAAATCTATACAGATATTGACGAATGTTTTAATAATTTTTAAGAAGACCCAATACTTTATAAACACTGCCATAAAACAAAATAACAGATACAGCTAGAGACTGAACAGTCCCTGGCTACACCCAGCATTTCAAATCATTAATACAAACACGATAATGAAAAACAGTACAGAATGGGTACATAACCAGTGATCCATACAAAACTTGTCATCAATCCTAACCAGCCTGATAAGAGAAGGGCAAAAAAAGAATTGTATTATGAGAAACAGATTATCCAACTTATGAGGTGAATAATAAAAAAGACTGCAAGACCACTATCAGAAATTTCTGGGAACAAAAAAGATACACAACATAGCGAAATAAAATTAGCAAAATCAGATGAACCCAAACATCCCACCATAGTAACAGCAAACAGATAAATGATTTCTTTCTCCACTCTAGGTCAAAACCTTGCCAATAAAATCCTAAGCTCAGATACCCCCCAATGACTACCTCACTGGGCAAGCTAGCCTCTGAACCACGTGTTCCTGCTTCGACTACCTATACGAATTCACTTACTATCAACGCCTGAAAACAAGGCAGGAGTTAATAATATCCGTTACCACTCTTTGCATATGGACTAAAAAACGTCACAAGTACTATCACCAATCATTGCAACAATTCCTTTAACAAATCCATATGAATCCTCCACTTTCCTACAGTTCTCCACCTAGAAGGTTCACCCCGATCACAAAGGAGAGCCTAACAGATGTTGAATAATCAATAGTCCAATAATCCAATTTAACCTCTCTCAAGGAAATCTTTCGAAAATATTTGTTTCATAAAAACAATCTACGGTCCATACCTCATCTCCCAAAACATCTCAACCCCTGCCAATTGGATTCAGGCCTAAAAAAATACTAATGATGCTATTATCACATGCTAGAACACATATACACTGCAATAGAGAAAAAAGAAGTCCCACTGGGGATCTTCATTGACTTCGTATAAAGCTTTTGATACAGTTGACATGACTTGCTCCACGTAAAATTGTCACACTATGGTATTAGAGGGCACTCCCTTAACTACCTCAAGTCTTACCTCAGCAACAGAAGCCAATATGTGTACGCAAATGGGGCAAGCTCTTCCGCACAACCAATTACAGTTGGTGTCCCCCAGGGAAGTGTCCTTGGGCCCTCTTCTCTTTCTCCTATACATAAATGACCTACCAATGTTCGCAGTTACTCAAACCACACTTTTTGCAGACGACACAACATACGTCTTCTCTCACCCAAGCCCAGTCCGCTTTGCCAATACTGTAAACACCGAATTACAGAAAATATCTACCCGGATGAGGACTAACAAACTTACACTAAACATTGACAAAACCTACTTCATTCAGTTTGGTAACAGAGCTACAGATGTACTCTTAACAAACAATAAACGGATCCCTATCACCAAGCTAACAGAGGGAAAATTTCCCAGGAATCCACCTCAATAATGACCAAATTTCATACACATATACAACAAATTTCTAAGGGAAAAACTCCAAGACTGTAGGGATACTATCGAAGATACGGTACTATGTTCCACAGTCAGCCCTCCTGGCCCTTTATCACTCTCTTATTTACCCCTATCTCACCCATGGAATTTGTTGCATGGGGCTCAAAAACAATTAACCATCTCAGACCCCTAATTACCCAACAAAAGCTGCAGTTAGAATAACAAATTCTCACTACAGGCAACACACTCCACCAATATTCAAAACACTCAACCTACTCACCATACAAAACATCCATACTTATTATTGCACCCATTACATACATAGAACACTTAATCCTGATATTAACCCTCCCCTCAAACATCTCCTTGCCAACCTCAACAGAACACTGACCATAACACAAGGCACAGATCACTCTTTGATGTTCCTCGTGTCCATCTCACGCTATGCAAAAACTCAATGCACATAAAAGGCCCTAAAATCTGGAAAATTTATTACCTGTAAATATAAAAGAAACACTAAACCCGTTTATAAATTCAAGTCTCTTCTCAAAGATCAAATTACTCACTCAAAACCAAATAAATACGAATAACTGAACCTTATAAATTGTATATCCTATATGTTACTCACAATTATATCACACAAAAATTTAAAACCCAGGACCCAATCTAACTTTATTATTTTTTTAAATACACTACCTAACAGAATACTCCATTCGACTGAATGTACAGCAATGCAAGCAACCATATGACCTGTCTTTGTAATACTCATTTGTGCTTTATAGTTATCTGTTTACAATAATGTTTTATCACTGATTTCATCATTGCTTAGTTAATCTTAAGTTAATTTTAAGCCAGCCCGTAATGCTATGCATATAAGTGGCATGCTGCTCTTACCTGTATTTTTTGTGCCTCTGTTTGTATGCTTAAATTACTAAATAAATAAATAAATTAATAAATAAATGTATAAAGATCCATCTAACTGACGTGTTTTTTGTTGGCAGGTTTTGCAGGCACGCCGGGCTACTTGTCTCCAGAAGTTTTAAAAAAGGAACCTTATGGCAAACCTGTGGATATATGGGCGTGTGGTGAGTCTCTCTTCTCTCTCTCTCTCACACCTGACTAGTGTTGAGTAACTTGCAGTATTGTAGGAACACACCTGACTAGTGTTGAATAATTTGGCTTCATATCAAGAAGCATAAATAATAGGAGTCCTCAGGTTGTTCTTCAACTCGATATATCCTTGGTTAGGCCTCATCTAGATTATACTGCACAGTTTTGGTCACTGTATTACAGAATGGATATAAAAGCACTGGAAAACATACAAAGGAGGATGACAAAGTTGATCCCATGTATCAGAACTCTTCCTAATGAGGATAGACTAAGGGCCCTGAATCAGCACTCTCTAGAAAGGGGTAGAATTAAGGGGGATATGATTGAGGTGTATGAATGGGAAAACAGGAATAAATAAAGAGAATGTAAATAGCATACTAAAACTATCTAGCCAAGACAAGACTCGCAGCAATAGTTTTAAGTTGGAAAAAATCAGATTCAGAAAGGATATAGGAAAGCACTTCTACCGTCATAGAAGCTAAAACATTGAATAGTTTTAAAAATGGGTTAGATAGGTACATGAATGGGTGTGAGTTGGACCTGACTAGCTTGTGCTTCTAGGTCAGATGCCATGTTCCTGCCTTCCTGTCATTGGCTTAAGCCAGTAGGAGACTTGGACCTGCCTCACAGGGGCCAGTAGGCCTGCTGCAGTGTTCCTTCTTTCTTATGTTCTTATATCATATTCATTACCGTGATATAACTCCTCAAATACCTTAATGAAAAAAGTTAATAAATTCGTAAGGCAGGAATGGCCTTTTGTAAAACTGTGCTCATATTCATTAATCAATTTGTGCCTTTCAAGATGGCTATGAATTGCCTCGGCAGTTATGGATTCTGTAAATTTTCCCACCGTGGAGGTTAGACTTATTGGTCTATAGTTCGGAGCTAAGGACCTGTGATTTTAATCAATCAATCAGTCAATCAATCAAGTTTATTCTCTATAAGGATTACACTGCGGGGTTTACAGATTTTGAATATTTTGTGGTTTACATGTTTTAAAATACTAATTACAGAGGGGGCCACTAGGACACCTAGCATGGCTAGGCATTTTGGGCAGACTTAGATTAATTCTAAACTTTAAATTATTACAGATTATTGTATTAAGGCTAAGTGACTACATTATAGTTTGTGAGTTTAGCAATGTGAATGCTTTTTGTTTTGGCACAATACATAGTGTGTATATTGGAGTATCATAGGCAAACTTATGACTAGTTAGGATTCATTATTTTAAGATTAAGATTCGTATTTCTGTGTTTATAGTCAATGGGTGAGTGAGTGTAAGTGTGAACTACCAGGTGATTTACATATAGTTAATTGACGGGATGTATCAGGGAGATAAGATGTTTTCTAACTGTAGTTTTGAAAGTGATGAATGTGTCTGAAGTTCTATAGTTTTCAGGTAGGGTTTCCAAATCTTGGGGGATATCAACAGTAGAAGCATTAAGAATTAATTACAAGTACAGTGGTACCCTGAGTTTCGGCCATAATTCGTTCCAGAAGGCTGTTCGAGTTCTGTTACCAAACGAATTTGTTCCCATAAGGAACAATGTAAATTAGATTAGTCCGTTTCAGACTCCTAAAAATACACTTACAAAAGCACTTACAATAATATACTTACATCTTGTCGGTATTGTATACCATTCTTGTACAACTTACATAATTGTTTGAGTTGGGAGCTGTATGAAACTCGGGGTACCACTGTGTTGGTTATTTGACTATTATTTATTAAGGAGTTAATTTTAGTTATGTTTAGATTAAGGATACTTCAACAAAATTGGAGTAGCTCAGACAGGTTTGGCAAATCGACAGCACTGCTTTTGCCAGCCAGTTGTATTGCAATTAACCACGTGTACCAGACAAGTTGGTGCTTATACTGTGTTCTCATTGAACATAGTGTATGTTCTACAAGGTGAAAATGTTATGCAGGCACTAATACAGTATCATATATTACATAGCATGTAAGTACATATACATCCATAGGCATTATTAATGTATATACATTAAATGAATGTATCAGTTGTTAAATAACAAAAAAGGCACAATACCGTGACTGGAACGATACACAAATAACCCGCACATAAAAGAGAGAAGCTTACGACGACGTTTCGGTCCGACTTGGACCTTTGTTAATGGTCCAAGTCGGACCGAAACGTCGTCGTAAGCTTCTCTCTTTTATGTGTGGGTTATTTGTGTATCAGTTGTTCATGTACTGGTACTGAGGGTTTACTGTAAACCCTCAGTACCAGTACATGAACAACTGATACATTCATTTAATGTACATACATTAACACTTTGACTGTCGCGGCCGTATATATACGTCTTGCGAGGTACCTTGTTTGACGTATATATACTCATAAATTCTAGCGGCTTCAAATCAAGCAGGAGAAAGCTGGTAGGCCCACATGTGAGAGAATGGGTCTATGTAGTCAGTGTGCACCATATAAAAAAAATCCTGGAGTATGCAGTGCATAATGAGAAAAAAAAAAACTGACCGTTTTTTTTAATTAAAATGCCGACTTTGTGGTCTATTTTCGTATAGTATTTATGGTTGTATTTTCGTTTTCTTGGTCTCATTTGATAGAATGGAAAACATATTATAGAAATAGAGGTAATTTTGATTGATTTTACTATAAAAAGAACCTTGAAATGGAGCTCAAAGTTGGGGAAATGTTTGATTTTTGCCAATGTTCAAAAGTAAACAAATGATGCCATTGTCCAATAAATGTCCAACTAGCCATTCTAATATGCAGTCATGAATGGGTTGATGTTATTTATACAATTATTACAGTACTGCAGTAGTCTGCATAATAGTAAGTCTTCTATTTTTTGTTTGAATAAAAATTCAAAATAGAAAGCAAGAGTAATTTCAGAGGGGCCTGGAGACATGACTGATGAGCAAAGAAAATGTTAGTTTAGAGCCAGGAATGTCTACATTGTTCATTCTGGACCTTATTTTGAAATTGTCATATTTTTTAGTTTTCGTGAAATTGGCCAAATTGCAAATTTCTGACCACATTATTAGGTAGTTGAAATCGGTAAATGGGCAGTTTCTTGTACTCAATCGATAGAAAAAATGGAGTTCTAAAGAAATAGCTATGAGTTGGGGCGACTGGAACAATGGAAATAGCGAAAATAGGGCTCAAAGTGGGCAAAATCGCCGATTTGTAAACAGCGCCGATGTCGCTAACTTCGCGAGAGCATAATTCCGTCAGTTTTCCATCAAATTTCGTTTTTTTGGTATCATTACAATCAGGAAAAGATTCTCTATCATTTCGTAAGAAAAAAATAATTTTTTTTTTTTAAATTTTGACACCAGGAGACACCTGAGGATTGGGGGTTGTGACAGTCAAAGGGTTAATAATGCCTATGGATGTATATGTACTTACATTTGTTCATGTATTGGTACTGAGGAATTACTACATTTGTTCATGTACTGGTACTGAGAGGTTACCACAATTGTTCATGTACTGGTACTGAGGGGTTACCACAACTGTTCATGTACTGGTACTGGGGGGTTACTACAGTTGTTCATGTACTATAACTGAGAGTTGATCCCCAGTGTTAATATCTGATATTCTCTAATAGTTTATGTTGTATGCATCAGGTGTGATCCTGTACATCCTGCTGGTGGGTTACCCACCATTCTGGGACGAAGACCAACACAGGTTGTATGCTCAGATCAAGGCTGGAGCTTATGATGTGAGTCCTCACAGTTCTTTCTCATTATTCTACTTTTGGAGTCAAGGTCATAAAATATTAGTAATTTTTTCATTGATTATTTAAAAGAATTCTTAAAAGATTTTGTATAAGTTTACAAGTTTTGTGAAACAGTATATTTTCCATGAGTGAAATTATAAAAATCCATGATATACAGTGGTACACTGACTTACAAGTTTAATTCGTTCTGTGAGTGAGCTTGTAGCTCAGTTAGCTCATACAGTGGTACCTCGAGTTATGAACATAATTCATTCCAGAAGGTTGTTCGAGTGCTGATACCGAATGAATTTGTTCCCATAAGGAATAATGTAAATTAGATTAGTCCATTTCAGATCCCCAAAAATACACTTACAAAAGCACTTGCAAAAATACAATTACATAATTGTTTGAGTTGGGAGCTATTCGAAGCTTGAGGTACCACTGTATATCAAATCAGTTTTCTTTGTTGAAATTAATTGAAATGTCATTAATCTGTTCCAGCCCCAAAAAAACCACCCCAGGGGCAGGAGAAAATACTTCAGTATAACTATAATATCAACTCTACGGCTTATTTATCTATCAGAATTATCTATTATGAATTAATAAACACTGTAAGTAACATTGAAACATGATATATATTCTAGAATGAATGAAATAGGCCATAATATGGTGAGTGTCCAGGACCAGTCCGAGCAAATAAAATCATTACTGCTTCTTCCTATAATGTGTTCTTTGGTCCTGGGTAAGAGAAAATGAAGTTTTTGAGAGGCTAACTGCACTAGATCACTAGTGAAGTGACATATGAATATCTCTGAAGTAAGTTATTGACTTATTTCATGAAGCCCAACATTTATTATTGAAGTTAATGCAATAATATTGACAAGAATCATACAAAAATTATTGTTCTACAATTGGCTTGTGGAATATTGGAGATATTCCAAATATTTTAGGATTTGTATGGGAGTAAAGGACAAGATATTTTGCAAATGTCAAAAACTTAGCAACTTTATATTTTTTGTAAAATAATTAAAGATAATTACATGATTACTTCCAGTGAGAACATCACACTAGCATTATTTTGTAAATACCAAGTCCCAAAACCACCTTTCGTTGTGCCATTTAGGCCGGGGTTCTTACCAAATGTCATTTTCAGTAAATACATTTTTTTTATCGTAACTTGGATTTTGGGTCGCAACTCAACGCAAAAACTCAACTGACCGATGGCTTGTAACTCGGAAAACTCGTAAGTTGAGGCACTTGTAAGTCAAGGTACTACTGTATGTAGTTTAGACAGATTAGTTAAGTGTATCTGTCTAGTTACTTGCATATATTGCTTTGTGCAAGACATTACTTTATAAACCAGGATAATGGCAGTAATGTATCTCAGTAGTCCCTGAATAGTCCCTGGCTAACACCCAGCATCCTCAAATCTATTAACACAAAGCACAAATATGAAAAACAGTATAGAATGGGTCAAATAACTAGAGAACAGTCTAAACATTACTCGTCAGCTATTACCAGCCTGATAAGAAGATCGAAAAAATTGTATTATGAAAATAGATTACAAAACATCAAAGGTGATATGAAAAAAAAACCTGGAAAACTCTATCTGAAATTCTTGGAACTAAAGTTATCCAAAAACAAAACAATCAAACTAACAAAATCAGACGAACCTCTACTCACACCAACTGAAACAGCAGACTCATTGTTTTCTTCTCCACCATAGGAAAAAATCTAGCGAACAAAATACCAAGCTCAAACACCCGTCTGTCAGACTACCTCATAGGTACCTACCCAAATACGCTATTCCTAGCTCCAACCAACCCACTAGAAGTCTCGCTCATCAACACCCTTAAAAATAAGGCAGGAGACATAAACAACTTGCCTGCATTTATGTACAAAAAAGCTTCTCAAGTATTGTCACCAATTATTGCAACACTAACAAATCCATTGAATCATCTACCTTCGCAACAATCCTCAAAATACCGAGGGTCACTCCGATCCATAAAGGAGGTGACCAAGCTGACTTGAATAACTATACACCAGTATCTAACTTACCACTGCTCTCTAAAATCTTTGGAAAATTAATTCATAGACAGATCTATTCCTACCTTGTCTCACACAACATATTAAACCCTTGTCAGTTTGGATTCAGGAATAATAAAAGCACAAATGATGCTATCATGCTCATGCTAGAACTAATATATACCGCACTCGAAAAGAAAGAAGTCCCGCTGGGAATTTTCATTGATTTACGTAAAGCTTTTGATACAGTCGACCATGAACTGCTGTACCCCAAATTAATGCACTATGGTATCAGAGGCCATTTCCTCAACTACCTAAAGCCATACCTTAGTAACAGAACTCAATATGTGTATGCAAATGGTGCAAACTCTTCCACCCAACCAATCACAGTGGGAGTCCCACAAGGAAGTGTCCTTGGACCACTCCTCTTTCTCATCTACATCAATGATCTGCTGAATGCATCACAGCTACTCAAACCCATATTATTTGCAGATAACACTACATACGTCTTCTCCCACCCAAACACAGTCATACTAGCAAACACAGTCAATGCCGAATTGCAGAAAACATCTGCTTGGATGATGACTAATAAACTTACCCTGTATACTGATAAAACATATTTCATTCAGCTTGGAAACAAAGCTGCAAATGATCCAATTAACATAACACTAAACGGATCATCAGTCACAAGACTTGGAGGGAAAATTCTAGGTATCCACCTTGACAGTAGCCTTAAGTTCCAGACACACATACAACAAATCACCAAGAAAATCTCTAAGACTGTAGGCATACGATCAAAGATAAGGTACTACGTTCCACAATCAGCTCTCCTGGCACTGTACCATTCACTCTTATACCCTTATCTTACATATGGAATTTGTGCATGGGTCAACAACATTCAGTCACCTAAGACCTCTAATAACCCAGCAAAAGGCAGCAGTCAGAATGATAACAAATTCCCACTCCCGCCAGCATACTCCACCAATTTTCAAAATTCTGAATCTGCTCACCATTAAGAACATCCATACTTATTCATGTGCCTACTACATACACAGAACAATACACGCAAATATAAACTCCCCACTCAAACTTCTCCTCATCAACTTAAGCAGGACACATGTCCATAACACAAGACACAGATCTCTTTTTGATGTACTTCGTGTCCATATCACACTGTGTAAAAACTCTATGCATATAAAGGGCCCCAAAATATGAAACTCGTTACCAGAAGATACTAAAGTAACCCTGTCTGAAAATTAATTTAAGACTCTTCTCAAAAGCCACTTATTTACCCTAGACTAACTGCTAAATACTCAGTACACACATACTCACTTATGTTATTCCCACATCATAACTTCAACAATTACTTTGAACCTTTTATCCATTGTTGACAGGAATATAATTGAATCATTGTTGACAGGAATATAATTGAATCATTGTTGACAGGAATATAATTGAATCATTGTTTTCACAAAAAGCATTTTTGAATATATGAATATATTTTTTTGTCTTAAACAAATTAGATTCACTTATAATTAATAATCTACTGTACAACTATGATATAATTAATATTCTACTGTACAACTATAACATAATTCTTAGTGTTAAGTAGTCTGTAAGTCAATAATGTTAAGTTGGCCCATAATGTCTAGGCATAATAGAGGCTCTCTTTGTATTGCAACCCATTATTGTAAATACAAAATCTCAATGTACTATTTGCAAAGACATAAATAAATAAATAAATAAATGTTAAATTAAGTCACAGAATGTCGTAGTTTTTTGAGTGGAGTGAAATAGCAGATTTAAAGGGGTACTTATAAAGTGTGCACTATCTCACTAAAAGGTGTGTGGGGTTTTGGTGTGGTGTGGTGTGTGTGGTTTTACGTCGTACATGCTCCCCAAATTGTAGTTGGCAGGGGTTTTGAGATCAGCCCCGGGCCCCTCTCCGGGTATGAGGTCCCTTCTCCCTGCTCCATGAGTTTGTCATCCTCATTTAAAACTATTATGGTTCCTGCCTTCACTCCCTCATTGTGGGCTATTCCACTTCCTGACTACTCTATGACTGAAAAATACCCCCTAACACCCCCTTTGACTTCTGCGGCTTCAACTTCAATTGTGCCCCCTTGTTCTGTGTCCCATCTCTGGAAATTTTTTTTTGTTCACTTGTCTTTCCCGTAGTTTTTACATTGTTGTTATGCCCCCCCTAACCTTTCCCTGTCCCCATGTCGTCAGGCCGTTTTCCCTTTAAACCCTTTCTTCATAAAAATTTCCCCCCTTATTTGGAACAAACCGTCGAAAACCTTTGTATTTCTCTAATTTTTTGACGTACTTGATCGAGTGTGGGTTCCAAAAGGGCGTACTTGGTGGGGGCCTGTGTACACGGTGTCGTGTCTTGAAATGTTTCCTTACTAATAAGGAATAATTTCTCAGGTTTGCCGGGGCCATTTGCTGGGGGGTGTGTGTGTGTGTGTATCGCCTTTTGTACTCGCCTTTTTGGGTTGCAGGGTCAGTCTTAGCCCCTGGCCCCCCTTTTCACCGGTTGTATGGGCCCCCTTTTTCCCCCCGCCCATGAGCTATAAACCCTGTTTAAAATGTGTAGGTTCCTGCTCCATAATCATTTTTAGGTATTCCTCCCTTAAACTTATGCTGAAGAAATATTTCCTAAATCTCTCTGACTCATTTGTGTCTTCAAACTTCCAATTTGGCCTCTTTTTTCTGTGTCCCCCCCCGGAACTCCCTTTGTCCCCCTTGTCTTTTCCCAGAGTATTTTATATGTCGTTTCATGCTCCCCCCCCTCCTGTCCCCCAGTGTCGTCAGGCCGATTTCCTTAATCTTTTTCATGGGAATTTCCCCCCTTACTCGGGAACAAAACCTTGTCGCAAACCTTTTTCTTTCTCTATTTTTTGACGGCTTTTCAAGTGGGGTTTCCCCAAACGGGGTGCTGCATCCCCATATGGGCTGCATACCGGGTCGTGTCT